GATGGCGCCGGGTGGCACCCCGCGGGCCTGTCTTTTGGGCAGGGGACACCAGGAAACGCACCTCTGCGGCACTTGGGGTTTGCGAAGGGGTGGAGGCAGGTCTGGGTAGGAGAAGCAAAAGGCAGAGAGCTCGACTTCACCACAGCGTAGGAATTTGCAGTCTCAGGCGTGAGGAGGAGCGGCAAACGCTACTGGGGTGAAGTAGAAAGTAAAATAGCACAATGTAAAGAAAGAAGGGAGACTAAACATAAATTTAACGATAAGTGCATAAAGAAGAAATACGAATTGATAACAGCATGAGTTTTTTTTTTTATAGGAAGATTGCTGAATAGGAAGTTCAGAGGCAGTATTAACTGTGGAACCTTCCCTCCTTTAAATTCCTGAGGAATCGCAGCCCAGACGTTTTCACCTTTAAGGCACAGACAGACATTCTCCTCTGCCAGAAGTTGTCAGGGAGCATTTTTCAAATGTTGCAGCTTTCTTGTGTTGTACTGCTTCAGTGTGGTCAGTGGGTGTGTTTCACCAGGAGCTCACCTGATGCAGAAAAATACTTGGCTGGAATTTGAATCTTGAAATGTGCTTTGCTTCTGGTCTACAAGAGCTAGGACTTTCTGAGTGTCTTGCAAAGTTCATGGTTTGTATGTGTCTCCAGGCTTGACTCTTAGAATTAGTGATTACAATAACTGCCAGATTCTCTCATGGAGTCTTTAGTTGCCTTTCCTATTGCTTTTCTATAGATGAGTTTATCAGATAGCTTTTATTGCACTGGCCTGGCATTGTGTATCCATAATAAACTCACCCTTCCCCTCCCCCTGCCAGCTCTGTTCTGAGGAGTTGAGTATAATGTCAGATATTGTTTAAAAATATTACTTATCTGTTTACCATTGTGATAGGAAACATCCAGGTGGGTACAGCTTGTATCCTGCAACTTAATGTTTCCAGTTGCATCTCTCCTGGTGAAGAGTGCTCTGGGTAGCAGCATGATTCTTATATCTGCCCGGGGACATAGGTGCACGTATATGCACCAGTACAACTATTCCCAAAGTGGGGATTTTAAAATATGATGATGTCAGTGGTTTTGTTTGTTTGTTTTTTTAAAGAAGCTTGCCATTCCCCTTCAGCCTGTGCTAACCTTCGAAATTCTTGCTGATACTTATTCTGGGAAGTTATATGCTGTTTTGTGGAATAGATTTACCTTTTCTGAATGATAACCCTGCGATGGGCATATTTTTCCCTTCCTGTCCAATTTTCTACTGTTATATTGGAGAAAATGCAGTCCCAGATCCTGCCTTCTCAGTTTTGTGCTTGAGCTTATGCATCTGGGTATGCTTTGTAAGTAAAATAATCTAGTAAATGCAGGACTGGGAACTTGTTTATCTTGGGAACTTTACATACCTAAGAAAGGAGGAACATAATGTCTGTAGAAAGAAGTTTTAATATTGTCTTAGTTGAAAAGTAGTTATTACAAAGTCATGAACGCTAAGAACACCAAGATTTGTATGTTAAGTATGTTCTTTTGAAAGTGTATGGCCTACAATAACCAAAGGACCTAACTGTCTTTCAAAATGGGGATATGGTAAAGAATGCCACGGTAGTACCTTGTACTTATTACTGTATCCACATTTTCTTGCTACTTCTTTAAAACTAGATGCAGTGGTCAGATTATCATTACATGGTGGGGGAAGGGGTCTTTAAGTATTGTTTCTTTTTGCTGAGAGTAGGAATTCTGAAGGTACGTGTTGCCTAGCGCTACTCCTCTAAAGGGAAAAGCAAGAAAAGTGACTGTATCGTAGATATGGAGTAATTGTATACCTTATAATAAATCTGTAATTTGCAAGGTCCCTTGCAAGAAGCCTTTACGTAATTTCTGTCTCACCTCATGATTATTCAATTTATCGCTGCATAGCATAAAATTTAAGAGAAATATTTTTTTAATGCTGTGTAATTTTTCTTTTGAAATTACAGGAAACAATACTATGCTCATCAGTAGAAGGTCATAAAAATTAGATGTTTATGTGGTTCTTGAAAATATTTTACAATTGCATTCAGTAAATAAAATATGACCTGTAATCTAGTCTTTAACTGAAATTAGTAAAAAAAAAAAAAAAAAAAAAATTTGTTATGAGCAGGTTATTCCTTACCATTTCTTGCACCTTTTTCTGAAATGTGGGCATTGATCATCAGTTACTACATTTATTCTTAATTTCATCTGTCTGTCTTTTGGCTCTTCTATCGCAAATCTTTTCAGAGGGCCTACTCTAAATAAAAATTATTTTAGTGTTTTTTAGGTTGCTTGCCAAACTGCATAGGAAGTAACATAAATTCTCTTTCTTTTTGAGGTTTCCCAGTTGTTAATTTCTAAATCTGATAATCTAAGAAGAACCCATTCTTCTGGCTCTTGAACTAGAGACTGCTGTACAGTGATGATGTCCGTGAAACAGTCCGGGTTTCCAAGTGGTAATGTGAGATTTGCTAGTGAAACAGCAGCTGTAATCCAACAAACTCAGAAGATTTATACTTCTGGGTCCTTATTTTATCAGTCTTGCCATATATATCATAATGTTTTATATCAATCTAAACATTTTCAATATTGCTTCTTGTCTTTTAGTTTGCCATTCACCAAGCCTATGTGCAGAACTATGTTTGTTGCCTTGGTAACTGCCCTCAGGCAGGAAGGTATCATTTTTATCCATTGATCAATTATTTGGTGGGAAGAAAATCCAACATAAAGCAGAGTAAAATAGTTAAGGGTATATTGGAATGGGAGTTTTAAATTGAGAAAAGTTGTCTAGGCTTTATAATAATTTCTCTTGAAGTAACCTAACAAAAGATCGTGAATTGTGATTCCATCACAAGACTTATTGAGATGAGAGATTACCTTCACTGAAAAAGGTAGTCAGGGGTTTTAATACCCTTCCTCCTGTTGTTAGAGATGGTTGTTTTGCATGGAAAAATGCAGGATAGAACCTTTTCTGCTATTGCTGTCTCATCTATTTTAGATTGTCCTACCAGGAGACTTTGTATTTGGGGGCATTGTAGTGAAAAGAGAGAACTTCAGCATTCCCATTTTCATGAGGAGATTCCCAAATGTGAACTGAACTTCATCTTATTTGTACCTAATACAATATTCAAGCATGTAAAGCTAAAACATACATTAGGTCAAAGCAGGAAGTTTCCTTAGAGCAGGGGAGAAAACACAAACTGATTTAAAGCTCCAGGACAGGTTACTCAGCGAACACTTTGCTGCAGGGGTGAATGGCTCACGTCTGAACTGTGATAGACAGTGCAAGATGATTGGTTTATGACAACAACATAGCCCTAGCATGCTCTAGCACAGTCATCATCCC